CACACACTGATTGTATTGGTTGAGACGAGGCCCCGGCTGTCACCCTAATCTAACCTAACCTAATCTAATCTAACCTAACCTAACCCAACCTAACCTTATCTAACCTAACCTAATCTGACCTAACCTAACCTCTCCCCCTCGGTACAACACTGAGACAAGTGCAAGTCACGATCCTCAGTACTCTTGAAAATGTTCGTTCAATATATGTTTGGTAACGAATGACAAGTGACATTGTAGGTAACGGATGACAACTTGGTGTTACGGTGACAGTATAGATAACGTATGACAACCGCTAAGTATTCAAGTAACATTATAGGTAACTTATGACAACCGCTAAGTATTCAAGTAACATTATAGGTAACTTATGGCAACCGCTAAGTATTCAAGTAACATTATAGGTAACTTATGACAACCGCTAAGTATTCAAGTAACATTATAGGTAACTTATGACAACCACCAAGTAACACGTTCCTCATATAAGCAACAAGTAACACATTAACCACGATAATTACTTCTAGGAATACAACACAGAGAGAGGGGAGGGGGGGAGGATTTTCTCTGTAGGTAATGAATCGATGAACAGAGAAATTGTGGAACGGGAGGAGGACAGCGGCGAGGAAAGATGAGACGTGGAGGACAGATATTACATGCTGACAGTCTTTGAGGCCAAGTTATTATATTCTGACAGTCTTTGAGGCCAAGTTATTACATGCTGACAGTCTTTGAGGCCAAGTTATTGCATTCTGACAGTCTTTGAGGCCAAGTTATTACATTTTGACAGTCTTTGAGGCCAAGTTATTACATTTTGACAGTCTTTGAGGCCAAGTTATTACATTCTGACAGTCTTTGAGGCCAAGTTATTACATTCTGACAGTCTTTGAGGCCAAGTTATTACATTCTGACAGTCTTTGAGGCCAAGTTATTACATGCTGACAGTCATTGAGGCCAAGTTATTACATGCTGACAGTCTTTGAGGCCAAGTTATTACATGCTGACAGTCTTTGAGGCCAAGTTATTACATGCTGACAGTCTTTGAGGCCAAGTTATTACATGCTGACAGTCTTTGAGGCCAAGTTATTACATGCTGACAGTCTTTGAGGCCAAGTTATTACATGCTGACACCTTACACTCCCACACATATTGAGATAAAAACACGTACCATATTTCACCTGTATCGCGGCTCGCTAATTACACCTTAATTTATACATAAACTTTACGGGACAAACCAACACGAGAACATAAAACAACATCAACAAAAAAATCTCTATTCAATCTTGAACTCTGATGAGCAGAAGTTTAGCTACCTAATTAAACTTGACCTTGAATAATTAAGTAAAGTTTTATGTATACGTGACGCACAGTGTTAAGTAAGGTTGGGTTAATTTAAGTTTGGCGTAACCGTGTGGAATGATGGCAGCGACCAGAGGAGTTTGGGTCAGTGCTATCCAGAGGTGTGTGTGTGTGTGTATGTGTGTGTGTACGGATAGCAAGGTGTTTGAGGGCAGGGCAAGTGTAGTGTTAATTAAAATCTATAAATAATTAACTTAGATATTTTAGCAGTGATAGAATATATATATATGTATATATTGTGTTAGTTATGACCGTGTAGTATTACTCAGGAGAAATCACGTAATGTTAACTTAGGTTCAGGTGAGCCTTGAGTTGATTCAATTAAGGTGACTTGAGAGAGCAAGTCAGGTGAAGTTTGTTGAGGCATAATAAGTGTGTCTGAAGTAGGTCTATTGTAGAAGTGGCTGACGATACTGTAGATGTAGCAAGATTATAACACTGTATATTTAGTGTTATAGTCACTCTCTACCTGTAGGAGTCACTATCACTCTTGATGTAGTCACAAGTTGGTGTTTTAATGGACTGTAAAATAGGCCGTCCACCACCAGAGAGGGAATTGACAACACTGTTATTTTGATGCTACGACCTTCATCCCCCCTCCCAGTGTTGCCAATTGGATGCAGTACACAATATGCTTAGAGTATTATTATTATTATTGTTATACCAAGCGAGGTAACAATGACATGTATAAATGTTTTCCCTTTGAATAGTAACAATGAAACTCAGAATATATTGCTGACGTCACGAGTAATTCTTAAATGGTGTTTGTGATATATTGTGAGACCATATTGTGAGACCATATTGTGGGACCATATTGTGAGACCATATTGTGAGGCCGTATTGTGAGACCATATTGTGGGACCATATTGTGAGACCATATTGTGGGACCATATTGTGGGACCATATTGTGGGACCATATTGTGGGACCATATTGTGGGACCATATTGTGAGACCATATTGTGAGACCATATTGTGAGACCATATTGTGAGACCATATTGTGGGACCATATTGTGAGACCATATTGTGGGACCATATTGTGAGACCATATTGTGGGACCATATTGTGAGACCATATTGTGAGACCATATTGTGAGACCATATTGTGAGACCATATTGTGAGACCATATTGTGAGACCAAGAGTGACTTCAGATAGCCCAGGAGGACACGTGAGAGTAGTGAGTCCTTGGAGACAATGGAGACCAAGGTGACGAATACGGGAGATTGTCGTCCTCAAAGGGTTAAATCATCGTCCTCAAAGGGTTAAATCATCGTCCTCAAAGGGTTAAATCATCGTCCTCAAAGGGTTAAATCATCGTCCTCAAAGAGTTAAATCATCGTCCTCAAAGGGTTAAATCATCGTCCTCAAAGGGTTAAATCATCGTCCTCAAAGGGTTAAATCATCGTCCTCAAAGGGTTAAATCATCGTCCTCATGACTGTCTGGTGGTGCACAAGAGGGAGGAGAAGGGAGTGGGGGGGGGGGAGGGATGACAGTATCCATAATACACAGGCCAAGGCGAGGCGCTGTTGGGGTCTGGCCAGGAGCGTCGCTAAACCTTCTTTATATAGGTGGGTCACGTAACTTAACTCTGCCGCCTGAAAGCTAAATATGATAGCTTATACCAGTGGTTCATGTGGGGGCTAGTTTATACCAGTGGTTCATGTGGATGCTAGTTTATACCAGTGGTTCATGTGGGTGCTAGTTTATACCAGTGGTTAATGTGGGGCTAGTGTATACCAGTGGTTCCTGTGGGGGCTAGTTTATACCAGTGGTTAATGTGGGGCTAGTGTATACCAGTGGTTCCTGCTGAGGCTAGTTCTGCCAGTGGTTCATGTGGGTGCTGGTTATACCAGTGTGGTTTCATGTGAGGCTAGTTATACCTGTGGTTCCTGTGGGGCTGGTTACACCACCCAGTGGTTCATGTGGGGCCTAGTTTATGAGGTGGTTCCTGTGGGGCTAGTTTATACCAGAGTGGTTCATGTAGAATTCAAGTTTATACCAGTTGTTCCTGTGAGGGGCTAGTTTATACCAGTGGTTCCTGTGGGCTAGTTTACCAGTGGTTCATGTGGGGCTGATTTATGCCAGTGGTTCCTGTGGGGGAACTGGATTTATATCAGTGGTTCTGTAGGGGCTAGTTTATACCAGTGGTTCTATGGGGCTAGTTTATGGTAGTTCCTGTGAGGGGGCTAGTTATACCAGTGGTTCCTGTAGAACTAGTTTATACCAGTGTGGTTCCTGTGAGGGGCTAGTTTATACCAGTGGTTCATGTAGAGAGCTGGATTTATACAATGGATTTCTGTGGGGCTAGTTTATACCAGTGATGGTTCATGTGGGGGAGCTGGTTTATACCAGTGGTTCATGCGAGAACTGGTTATACCATCGGTTCCTGTAGAGGCCTGGTTATACCAGTGGTTCATGTGGGGGCTAGTTTATACCAGTGGTTCCTGTGGGGGCTAGTTTATACCAGTGGTTCATGTGGGGCTAGTTTATACCAGTGGTTCATGTGGGGGCTAGTTTATACCAGTGGTTCATGTGGGGGCTAGTTTATACCAGTGGTTCATGTGGGGCTATGGTACATTTCGGGGGACCTTGGTGGTAATTAAAACCATTTGAGTTCATAATACAGTTAAATAAGGCTTGACCCTCATAGCAGAGTACCAGAGTTTAAACCATATGACCTAATGATAATCTTAATCTGTATGGCAGTATAATAGCACAGCGTTAATGCAGCTTGATCCTGTACTGAAAAGTGACATTGTTGATCATCTACAGTCACTGGGGATAGAATTTCATAAGTATTATCCTGATTTAGAGAGACTGAGGCAACAATTGTGAGGAATCTTTTTTTTTCTGTCAACCTTCGCGTGGATAACATACTAGAGGCGGTGTGAGATGAATTCCTTGAACACCGAAGTGATCTATTTGCCAAAGACACATTCGAAGAGCTTGACTTGAGTTTTGGGTGACAACGGATCGCGGTATCCTGGTGCTTCTGCCATTCTCGTCTGCCTCTCTCTATGAAGCGGGTCTTTCCACGCTGTTAAGCATCACATCGAAACAGAGTAATCGGCTCCACGTGGCAGGTGATCTCCTTTGTCTCCTGACTATAACCTCTACCATGGATACCCCAACAGGTAGGAAAAAAATACAATGTTCGCCAATCCGCTGAGTTTTTAATTAACTTTATACATGCGCGTAAAATTGTTCTTTTTTCACTTATCCACGACTTGGAACCTTTTCATACCGTTTTACTTTGTGACAGTTCTATTACATGTTGTCCTTGTACCGTCTGGCGCCACTAATAATAATAACATATTAAATTCTGTTATCAGTTTGCTCTTGGGGTGAGGGGGTGAAGTGGGAAGGAGGATGGGAGGGACGCAGAGTGGGAAGGGGTGGGGAGGCCAGAGTGGGAAGGGGGATGGGAGGGACGCAGATTGGAAGGGGGTGGGGAGGGGCTCAGAGTGGGAAGGGGGAGGAGGGGCGCAGAGTGGGAGGGGGAGGGAGGGGCTCAGAGTGGGAGGGGTGGGAGGCTCGAGTGGGAGGCGCAGAGTGGGAAGGGGAGGAGGGGGCTCCAGAGTGGGAGGGAGGGAAACATCCAACTGATTGAAAACTCCTCAACACCAGACCGGGTGGGTCCTCAACACCAGACCGGGAAGTGGAGTCCTCAACACAGACCGAGGAGTGGGTCCTCAACACCAGACCAAGAGTGATCCTCAACACCAGACCGGGAAGTGGAGTCCTCAACACCAGACCGGGAAGTGGTCTCCTGAACCAGGTGGAGTCCTCAACACCAGACCGGGAAGTGGAGTCCTCACCACCAGACCGGGAAGTGGAGTCCTCAACCCAGACCGGGAGTGGAGTCCTCAACACCAGACCGGGAGTGGGTCCTCAACACCAGACCGGGAAGTGGGTCCTCAACACCAGACCGGAGTGGGTCCTTAACACAGACCGGGAAGTGGAGTCCTCAACACCAGACCGGAGTGGGTCCTCAACACCAGACAGGGTGGGTCCTCAACACAGACAGAGTGGAGTCCTCAACACCAGACCGAGTGGAGTCCTCAACACCAGACCGGGAGTGGGTCCTCAACACCAGACCGGGAAGTGGAGTCCTCAACACCAGACCGGGAAGTGGAGTCCTCAACACCAGACCGGGAGTGGGTCCTCAACACCAGACCGGGAGTGAGTCCTCAACACCAGACCGGAAGTGGAGTCCTCAACACCAGACCAGGAAGTGGAGTCCTCAACACCAGACAGGGAGTGAGTCCTCAACACCAGACCGGGAAGTGGATCCTCAACACCAGACCGGAGTGGAGTCCTCAACACCGAACCGGGAAGTGGAGTCCTCAACACCAGACCGGAGTGGAGTCCTTAACACCAGACCGGGAAGTGGAGTCCTCAACCCAGACCGGGAAGTGGAGTCCTCAACACCAGACCGGGAAGTGAGTCCTCAACACCAGACCGGGAAGTGGGTCTTAACACCAGACCGGGAAGTGGAGTCCTCAACACAGACAAGTGAGTCCTCAACACCAGACCGAGGGTGGGTCCTCAACACCAGACCGGGAGTGAGTCCTCAACACCAGACCGGGAAGTGGAGTCCTCCAGACCGGGAAGTGGAGTCCTTAACACAGACCGGGAGTGGAGTCTCAACACCAGACCGGGAAGTGGAGTCCTTAACACCAAGGAGTGAGTCCTCAACACCAGACCGAGTGGGTCCAACACCAGACCGGGAAGTGGGTCCTAACACCAGACCGGGAAGTCCTCAACACCAGACCGGGAAGTGACTGGTACCTGATACGGTCTATACTTTACCTGCAACACTGAAAACGATCTTGGATTCTGATTGGCCAACTGTGCTTTGAACTTTGTAATGGAACTTAATACTAAACTTGCGATGAAACGCCAAATATTTTGATAATTTTTGCCCCATCTTGTGTGTGTGTGTGTGTGTGTGTGTGTGTGTGTGTGTGTGTGTGTGTGTGTGTGTGTGTGTGTGTGTGTGTGTGTGCCTCATGAGACTATATACATCTAACTGTATTACTTCCGATTAAAATCTCTCACAATTTTCTTCATTGACAAAGGTTCGTACGATTAACATTTCCCCTATACAAAAAAAAAATTACCATTGGACCATTTAACATCGGCTAAAAAGAAGGAATTAAACTACAAAAATGGAGACGGAATTACACAGAGACTCTACCCTTATTTGCACATTTCATTAGTGCTAAGTAACGGTATCTCGTTAAGGTAATGTCTCAGTGTAATTAGAACTGTTAGCTGGAGATGGCGACAGTCGGTTGGTTCTTTTAGCTGTGATGGAATGAATTTTTTTTTTTAGCTTTGATGGAGAGAATATATTTTGTTTTTTAGCTTGGACTTAGAGAATATCTTAGGTTTAAGTGGGAGAATTTAACTTTGCCAGAGGTAATAGAGAGAAGATAGTTTAGCTTTGGTAGAGAGATTAATTCTAGTATTAGCTCTAAATGCTATAGCTTTTGTATAAATATCATTATGATTGAAATAAATAGCATTTAGTATCTCAGAAAGATAAAGCTAGAATAAACTTGACTTGGCTTACGTGAGATTGAAAGCTAAGACTGTCAACATTTAAGAGTTTACCGACATAAATCCTCTAACGTTAGCAAAGTTCTCTCGTTCATGAACACAAATACATTCGTTTACAGTTGATTAGTTTACCTAGCAAAATGTTCACCCACACACCAAAGAATTACCGTGTGTGGGAAACTAATACCCTGTTGGGAATAAATGCCCCAGCCTGGAAAAAAAAGGAATACCAGACTGTACTAGTTCTATATATTGCTATGTTGTAAACGTCTACCCGCGGCCGATGCTAGTAGACGGATGCTAGTAAATATGTGACGAGTAGATAAAACAATGAAATAAATAGATAAGTATAAACATACGTGAAATTAGATAAACACACACAAAAAATAATTTATGCAGATTATGAGAAAATTTTTTTAAGTTGATAGTTAAATAAGAATATTTTTCGAGAATTTTTTTTTGTAGTAATAATAATAATAATAATAACAAGATAACATTACTATTAAAAATACTACTACTACTACTAATAATAATACCAACACGTATATGATAACTTAAACATAAACAAAAGAATATTATAGAGGAATTAGAATTATCTTACAGGATATATTATTATTAAACCGATATTGTTGTAGGAAGATATACGTAATGTTTTATTGTAGGTGAGATAAAATGGTTTAAGTCGAGCTGATTATGTGGCTTCGATTTACTGAGTAGTCCTCTCTCCCTCTCTCTCTCTCTCTCTCTCTCTCTCTCTCTCTCTCTCTCTCTCTCTCTCTCTCTCTCTCTCTCTCTCTCTCTCTCTCTCTTATATATAGGAGAAATGCCTAGAATGACCGAGAGAGGGGGAGTCAGGGAGAGGGAGGAGAATGAATCAGGGGAGGGAGGGAGAATGGGATTGATGGAAGATAAAGACGAGAGTAAAGGGAGTCACAGGGAGTGGTGAGCGGCGGCCGGCCCCTCCCACCCTGACCACTCTAATATAACACACCTTAATTCACACACCTGAGTACCCCTCGACCCCCCCATCTTACTCACTCCTCATTACTTGAATCCTCCTCCTCCCTCTGTCTCTCACCAATCCCTCCTCCCCCCACCCCTATCTTACTAACTCACTCATTACTTGAATCCTCCTCTCCCCACTGTCTCTCTCAGTCCCTCCCTCCTCCTCCCCCACCCAATGAACTGTCCCCCCTCCACCATGACGCCCCTACCCCCCCTCATCTACCTGGTGGTCCTGCATTAAAGTCGTAAGGTTAATTAATTCATTAAGTCCTACAATAAATTCTCTCAGTCTGGCGAGAGATTAACCTCACCTCTTAACTTATTTCACCCGACTTTTAATTCCTCTAATGTTAACTTAATCTAATCTAACCTACAGTACAATAACTTAATATTATCTGTCATTTAACTTGATTTAACCCAACCAATCAACACGACAACACAGCCAGCAGCCCAGCCCAAGACCCAGCAACAATGACCCAATGCCAACAGCAACCCAACAGCTACAACCTAACCTAACCTAACCTAACCTAATAACAACCCAGCAACCCACCCAACCCTATAACCTCCTAACCTAACTCACAACCTACCTCAACCAACCCCCAAGTAGCGTTAAAGTGTTTAATCATCAGATGAATAAATTTAGACGACTCATCTTCGGGTAATCCAGGTTTTTACTTACGTTTAATTCCCTTTTTTCTAATCACTACTTTTCTCGTGGATTATCTCACACACACACACACACACACACACACACACACACATACACACGCACAAGTAAGCTCATTAAATGGTAACGTGTGAGCCTTTTAGTAACAGATCCCAGCAATGATGACAGATGGGGTGTTCCTGTAAACTGAATAACGATGTAATAGTGAAGATTATTATTATTATTATTAGTAGTAGTAGTAGTAGTAGTAGTAGTAGTAGTAGTAGTATTGTTGTTGTTGTTGTTGTTTGAGAGAGAGACATGGTGGTGGAGGATTTGTCTGTCTTGATTAGCTGTAGCACATCAAAGGAGCTATGTCACTCTTTTTCTCTTTCTCCCTCTTTCTCTTTCTTTCTCTTTCTCCTTTCTCCTCTTTCTCTTTCTTTCTCTTTCTCCCTCTTTCTCTTTCTTTCTCTTTCTCCTTTCTCCTCTTTCTCTTTTCCTTTCTCCTTTCTCTTTCTCTCCTTTCTCCCTCTTTCTCTTTCTCCCTCTTTCTCTCTTTCTTTCCCTTTCTCCTCTTTCTCTTTCTCCTTTCTCCCTCTTTCTCCCTCTTTCCTTTGTCCCTCTTTCTCCTCTTTCTCTCTCCTCTTTCTCTTTCTTTCTCCTTTCTCCCTCTCTCTTTCTCCTTTCTCTTTATCCCTTTCTCCCTTTGTCCCTCTTTCTCCCTCTTTCTCTTTCTCCCTCTTTCTCCTTTGTCCTCTTTCTCTTTCTCCCTCTTTCTTTCTCCCTCTTTCTCCCTCTTTCTCTTTCTCCCTCTTTCTCTTTCTTTCTCCCTTTCTCCCTCTTTCTCTTTCTCCTTTCTCCTCTTTCTCTTTCTCCCTCTTTCTCCCTTTGTCCCTCTTTCTCCCTCTTTCTCTTTCTCCCTCCCTCTTTCTCCCTCTTTCTCCCTCTTTCTCTTTCTCCCTCTTTCTCTTTCTTTTTTCGTTTTCCATTTTGTCCATTTTTCTCTAAGTCTCTTTTTCTTCCTCTGTTTTTCCTCCGGAATCGAATAGGATGATCATCCACCCATGAGACAATGATATGAGTGGTTTACGGTCAATTCGCCCACAAGTCCATTCGCCCACATTTAGAGTTTATTCGGCCACACTTAGGAGTCGGTTCGCCCACACAAGTCAGTTCCCACACTTAGGAGTCGGTTCGCCCACACCTGAAGTCAGTTCGCCCACACTTAGGAGTCGGTTCGCCCACACCTAAGTCAGTTCGCCCACATTTAGGAGTCGGTTCGCCCACACCTGAAGTCAGTTCGCCCACACTTAGGAGTCGGTTCGCCCACACCTGAAGTCAGTTCGCCCACACTTAGGAGTCGGTTCGCCACACCTAAAGTCAGTTCGCCCACTCTTAGGAGTCGGTTCGCCCACCTAAAGTCAGTTCGCCCACACTTAGAAGTCGGTTCGCCCACACCTAAGAGTCAGTTCGCCCACTCTTGAGTCGGTTCGCCCACACCTAAAGTCAGTTCGCCCACACTTAGAAGTCGGTTCGCCCACACCTGAAGTCAGTTCGCCCACACTTTGTCAAGTTCTATTTATGTTTATTTATGTACCAGATAACAATTTAATATATATAAATTAAGTCTCAGGTTGTTTATTCAGTGACTTTCAAATATAAAACCTATATAAAATACACAACCTAAAAAGTTTTAAAATATCAATCATAGAAGTCACATAGAGTGGACTTAGGATATTTGGTCACATATCAGCTGCTGACTGACCCACTGAGATGGACGCAAGCTCTCGGGACTTGGCAAGCTGACTTCTTGTTCCTCAAGTATTCGTCCCAAAGAGCGAAGATTTTTGGCCTGCAACTCCCTATACCTTCTTCGTTGACTCTGTCGGAGCTTCTTTTCTGATACCAGCCTTATATGTACAGGGGTTAGTCTGGCCTCTTTGTGGAGAAGGTTAACAAGCAGATAAAACTGAAGGAGGCATCTTCCGGCAGCACGTTTATTCAGTCTGTTGTGCCATCCTTCAATGTCATTAATGGTACACACACACCGGTTGAAAATACTCCAGCTGGATGGTGGCCATGTGGAGCTGTGGATCATGATCTTGATATATAATTTACCATAGTTTGTAGTAGGGCTGTGATGGCTTGGCGCTGAAGACGTTCGAACATAGGAACTATTTCTCCCTCCGGCAGAAACGGAAGGGCCATCAATTTATGCAGCTACTTTGTGTGTTCCGTCATCATGTGCGTACGCATGTTGCAGACTAAATCCGCTGGAATTTAACAATTACGAAACCTACAGACGGTATTTTCATAGTTTCGAAAACTTTATTGAAGTTCAGTTCTTTACATTAATACATTACTAAACCTAAATAAAACAGGTAACAAAAAAGGGATGGATGAACCGACTCGATAGTGTGGGCGAAATGACTTGTGGGCGAAACGACCGGATTCCATACGAGATATTAGGGTTGTCACCTTCGTTGGTGAACTCTGAGGTGACTAGAGAGGCTGATACGGGACTGGCAGGGTCTTCCACAGATGTTGCACATGTGGGGGGGCTGC